ATATAAAGAAATAAAAATAAAGAAACATAGCTGTCAGTGTTGTCAACTCACCCGTTTTTATATATATATATATATATATATATATAAAATTAAACTTTATTTCCGTTATAAGTGCATTAAACTGATCAAAAGTGACAGTACAAACATTAAAGTTACAAGATTTCTATTTAAAATAAATGCTATTTATTAACCTTTCATTAAAAAAATGAAACTAATGTTCAAAAATCAATCAATTATGACCGTTTCAGCAAAAACATGAAGCAGCACAACATTTTGACTTTGATAATAACGTTTCTTTTGAGTAGCAAATCAACATATTAGATTGATTTCTGATGCAACATGTGACACAGAAGACAGGAGTAATGTCTGCTAAATTCAGCGTTTCCAGCACGGAAACAAATAACATTTTAAAACATATTAAAATAGAAAACAGTTATTTTAAACGGCAATAATATTTTACAACATAATCAATGTAGTTTTGATCAAATAAATGCAGCCTTAGTGAGCATAACAGACTTCTTTCAAAAGCATCAACCAATATTATTGTGCCAAGTTAGACATAATTAAAATAATCGTTCCAGACATGTATGTTTCCAGATGTGTGCTAAAACCAAGGTACACGTATGAATATGTAAATGACACTGTGTTGAATGTCTCCTACTTCAAACAGTGAGACGGCATCTTGCTCTGCCAGTGCTTCGTCCACCTCGTAGCTCTCGTCTCTGTTGCCCTACAAGAGAGAAAGTATTGACGCCCTTGAAATCCAATTGGAGTCCATATGCAAAAAAAAAACCCTGCATTTGCTGTTTTTTTTGGACAAAGCCTGTGTTTAATACAAACCAAGTGCAGTGTAGCAGTCCTTCAGAGTTCCAGAGATTTCCTTATCGATTGCATCCAAAATCTCTGTTCCAGAAATCTGTTGGAGAACAAGGTGAAATACAATCTAAAAGTAATCCACAGCGGTTACACATGAACTAACACAACGTATTATACATATTGTACATAAGTTACTGTCTTAAGCTCTAAGAACAGAACAAACTTACTGCTTCATAAGCTTTGAATGTGACCTGCAGTTGTAAGTAGTTCCTGGTGGCCAGAATGAAGCTGAAAGTTGACTCATCTGTGCCAAAGCAGTCCTCTCCAGCCTGACAGAGAATTAAAACATCTATTAATAAACTGGATTTGAACTGGATATGTGCCTAAATAATAATATCATTATTTTGCCATAAAATATTCCAGGGTGATCTCAACAATTCATAGCTATTTGTACGTTCTAGCACACATATTTGTTTCCAGTTCAAATTATATATATATATATATATAAAACAGTGAGACGGCATCTTGCTCTGCCAGTGCTTCGTCCACCTCGTAGCTCTCGTCTCTGTTGCCCTACAAGAGAGAAAGTATTGACGCCCTTGAAATCCAATTGGAGTCACGTCACTGAATCCTGTTTCTACTTATCTAATGAAAGGGGATCTGAAGCACTGCCAAGCTCCAGTGCTCTATACAGGGACAGCAGGAAGAGGGAGGGCTACTAAACACAGGCTGACACCGAGCGCTTTATGTCGCTCAGGACTGTGGAGTGGTCATTTTGTAAGACCTAAGCAACCATTTTGATTTAGAATGAAGTGGATTTACCTCGAGAAGCAATGTTAGCAGTCTCCTAACATCCCCACTGGTGTCTGCTTCAATGTCTGCCTCCAAATCCCTGTCATGCACTGTAGACAACAACATGCAGGGGATGCTTACCAAACATAGTTTGATAAAGCAATAGATAAACTGTTCAAACTGTGGAAAAACATATTGAGATCACGTAACTGTAATTGTGACGAAAGATTAGGGAACCGATGTTGCTATGTGGTTGCTAAGGTGTTCTGAGTGGTTACGAGGTGGTTGCTTACTGGACTAGAAGAGCCCACCTCCAGATCTCAACTATGGACTGTGATAACGTGTATTCACAGTTATTAACATTGTATACACAGTTATTAACAAATTTGACATCCTTCTCTCTTCTGACCAATGTGATCAGTCTCTTGAAAAAAAATGTCTGCCTTTTGTAAAGTCATAGAAATGCTATCATGATTTCTTTTTCTATTGGAGCCAAAGAGAACGTAAAAATATGTATTGTAATTCCTGTTAACCTCTATAAAAGTTTACACAGCTATGATGATTTTCACTTCTGAGAGCCCCAGAAATGTGAAAAATGTCTGTATTCTGGTCCCCAGATAAGCCTAATAGATTTTTTTTCTCCCATTATTTTGTCTTATGACTCTTTACCAAATTGTATGAACCATAATGAATCTAATATATGGTCAAATCTTGATACAAATACTAACAGCATTTTATTGTACTGAAGCATGAAGTATAGCAAGTAGGGATGCACCGATACCGATACTGGTATCGGGCCCGATACTGCGCTCCTGTACTCGTAAAAATGCCCCGATAACAAAAGCCGATACCAAACAGCTTGTGAATAGAGCTGTGTCCAGAAAAAGAAACACTGAAAACAGAACAACAGAGAGTAGAATGGAGTTATTAGAGACTAAGGATGTCTACGAAGTACATATAAGTAATTAATATAATGTTAAACATTCAATATTCACGCTTGTATAGCGGATGTGCCTGAGCTGATAAGCAGAGCGCGCTGAGCAGATTGAGCGCACGGCTGCACAGATGCGCAAGCTTGTCGAGTGAATATCTCACAGACATCACTGGAAAGTTTGTAGTTCGGTCGGATATGTCAAAAGCAAGTAAGTAAAACAATGCACAAGTTACTAAAGTTATTTGACGGTAAGGATAGCGAGAGAGAGAGTGAGAGATTCCGAGAGCGCGCACTTCTGTTGCATGATCTTGATTGCTGTTCGCTCGCTGCGCATGTTTAGCTTGCTTTAAGGCCAAAGTATACTTCGGTTTTTACTCGTATGCGAGGGTCCATATACACTGCGCGTGATGCAAATTACATCACCAAAATAGTACGCGTGCACTCGTATAATGTATAACGAGTGGTTCCCTGCATTATTTTAGGAAAACGTTTTGTGATTATAGTATTGAGCTGCTGCAATGGAGCAGCTCTAATGCGCCATTAAAATGAACAGTGAAAGTAACAAAAGCTTATACAATACATTTTAACAGGTATAATTAAGTGTGGAAATAACTGAAGGTAACTGAAGCCAACTAACATGATTCATATTATTATTATTTTATTTCTGTACCCAATATTTAAAAAAATTACAAATGCTGTGAAAATACAAGTATCGGTATCGGCGAGTACCAAAAATGAAAGTATCGGTATCGGACTCGTT